TATGGTATGGTATGGTATGGTATGGTATGGTATGGTATGGTATGGTATGGTATGGTAAGGTATGGTATGGTATGGTATGGTATGGTTTGATATGGTATGTTATTGGGGAAGATTAGGATATAATGGATTAGCATGGGATAGGATAGTATGATTTTTTTTAAACTGAGAACCTTTCACAACAGTAACATTATCAAAGAGGACCAATCTATATTAATTGTATCCAAATGAGCACAGCAAGTGGCTTGATGTCAAAGAGCCTTAAATTATGGACCATTGTCATTTAGATATACTCGCAAGAACCGTATGGCGTCAGTAGCCTCGTGGTTCGACTGCCGGACATGAGTATCACGAAGGCCATGGCCGGACCCGTTATCCTGAGAATGCGTGTTTGGGGTTCGAGCTTCAGCTCAGTCCGACGTTGTGTCCTTGTGAAAAGCACTTAACACGAATTTTCCATTTGGCTCGGTCCTTTCGGAGATGGACGTTAAACTTGGAGGTCCCGCCTCTTAAATAACCTAATTGTGTTGATAGAGGCGTTAAAACTATACTATTACTATGCCATTAAGAACCGTAGTTCTGATCGAATCTCACAGAACAAATACATGTACTGAGATTTTATGGACTCTATCAAAGATAACTATAGTCCTTTTATGAAAGTATCCTTTAATTGAAAAATAACTAACAATATCCTAAAATAAAATTCCGAAATATTGTCAGCTTCCTCGGAAGCTTTCAGTGAAAGTTGTCGTTTTACAATAGCTAAAGTACTAACAAGCGGAAAATTCATTCTTTCACCGGACATCGTTTCTCACATGGGAAAGATGAGGGGATGATGTCATGTCTATAACTATAATAAGATTCGAACCAGAGATCACATGACTGTGAATCAGCAGCATAAACACAAGATTGGTGGTGCTACATCTGCTTTTGATAGCAGAGAGGAAAAATCTCGTCACTCGTATGTACTTTAAAATACGACAGTTGTTTTATAACCAGAGATATATATTATATTATAGCAAACTACACTATACTCGTTGTGTCAGAAAGATAGGACAATAGATGTGTACATTCATAGTCGAAGACTCATGTGAGTGAAAAAGTAGGCATCGTTTGAGAGTCCATTTTCTTTTTCTTTTTTAAAGGCATCTCCAGAAAGGTATCTGTTTGAGGCATGACATTTTTCTTTCAAACGTTCGATATTGTTTCGTATATTTCTTTTTTAAAGCTATGCTGTTTTGTCAGTTTTATCGATTCGTGCAATGATAAATGATTTTAAAGTGGAAAAGAACACAAGGAGAGCTCGACCCTTCGCAAAGGCAAATTCTATTCATTAACAAAAATATATGCTAAAATGAACAAGAACTCATAGCAGAACCACTGTGAAGAGTTCAAGGCGCGCCACTCATCCCCATCCGCCATACCCCTCTTTTTTCGGTGTTCTACGTCTTTTTAGCAAGTGTTATCCCTCTCGCCCCATCAATCAATCTAAATAAATAACTGGCAACTTCTTAAAAAGAGTCAATAGTTTTTTAGCCGAAGTAACACCTCTTACAGACATATCACTCATCCTTTTTTCCCCAACATCTTTATCTATTGATTTAATTCTGTTCCTACAAGGATCATGAGCTCAGCACTGTTCCACATGATGACATCATCGCGTGCAATAAATCTGCTTGCTTAAGCAAAACCAATGTTTCGATAATTTAAGTCAATGTGCCACTGATTTTAAAAAATCAAACACGTTTGTGTAATCAACGACGGACGCGGGAAAGCACAAAGACACGAATTACGAAACAAGATGTATCTATTTCCTACGTCATCATAAAACGTGTATGACGTATACACGTTGGATTCCAAATTAATTCAAAAGGAGGCCACAGCTGTTTCTGGTATGCACCAAAATAGATTTGGGAGCACGACCTTTCACTGTTCACGCCGAATGATGACGTCACAGCGTACGATGAAGGCTTGGCGCCAGCCACATGCTAGCTGGCCCAGTTGTATTGACCGCGTGTTAGCCAGGACGGGGGGAGAAGGAAGACTGGTATCACCAAGGTCATAAAGGACGTCAAAGGAAAAGAAAGATCTGGTTGAAGTGACGCCTACATTACCCACCTACCCCCGACTCCCACTCCAACCCCGCTCCCCTTTTCGGCTTACCATTTTTAGGACGCTCTTCAACCTGCTTAAGATCTAGAGTACGTCACTTTTTTATCTGCTTCTCTCTCTCTCTCTCTCTCTCTCTCTCTCTCTCTCTCTCTCTCTCTC